AAAGAAAAAAAAATCGCCAAAATGTGGGCTGTTTTGTGCTTGCCATGTGTTCTCCTAGGCAAAACCTGGGCAGTTGGTGTTCCAGAAATACTTGTTGATAAAGTGTTTGAATAGAAGAAGTTATTTGTATGAAAACTGAGAGTGTACACCCTGTTTGTCATCATGCACCACACGTGAAAACAGCAGAGTTAGTGCATGCCAGGCTTTTCTTCTTTCCCTCCCTCTCACTTTTTGTGGAATCTAAGAGAGATGGCTGACAGGATGTGGGTGGGAATAGATGGATACGACAGGGACTAGCACTTCAAAGCTGAATCTATCCATTCCACTAAAGGACTGTCTGTTCCAAAGAGTTGATCAGAGTCATATATAATAGGGAGAGTGTATTAGAGTATTCAACTTTTTTTTTTTTTTTGGGGTCCGGTCGTGGGGCCTGAACTCTGGGCCTGGGCGCTGTCCCTCAGCTCTTCAGCTCAAGGCTAGCACTCTACCACTTGAGCCACAGCGCCACTTCCGGCTTTTTTCTTTTTGCTTATATGATGCTGAGGAATTGAACCCAGGGCCTCAGGCATGCAAGCAAGCGCTCTACCACCTTCCCAGCCCCAGTATTCAAATTTTATAGAACATGTTTGATTGGAACAAATGACAGATAAAGTTCTTGAGATGATGATTATTAAATATAATAACATTAGGTAATGAGGGGCAGGGAGTGTGGCCTAGTGGTAGTGTGCTTGCCTAGCATGCATGAAGCTCTAGGTTCAATGCCTCAGTACCACATAAACAGAAAAAGCCGGAAGTGGTGCTGTGGTTCAAGTGGTAGAGCACTCATCTTGAGTTGAAGAGCTCAGGGACAGCCCAGGCCCAGAGTTCAAGCCCCACCACCGACCAATAATAATAAATAATAATAATAATAATGGAATGATATATTTCAGTTCCATTTCCTTTTCCAAGTTCAATTGCCAGCCCTTTTCCTCAGAGATGAATCAGTTGTCTGCAGGACCCTCTTAGCCCTGCCTTCCAGGCATAGAATATCTTCCTCCCTATTCTGTGGTTGAGGGCATGGCACTCTCCTATCCCCAGCTTGGTACTAGTTGGCTATGGCTTTTTCTTTGATTCCAGAAAGGAATTACTTCAACCAGGATTAAATCTGCTAGAGCAGCTAATTGCATTCTTTTAATTTTAGGTCTGTCTTTGACAGATGAGTAGGAGGAATTTAGCAATACATCTCACTACTTCTAAGAAAATGGTTTCTAAGTTAAAAACTCCCTTAAGAATTAATAACAATTATTACTATTTATCTCTTGAGCCTTCCAAACAAATGTACTTTGTCTGCTAAGATATAAGATAGAAGAGACGTGGAATAATTCATTTAAAGTCATTTTCTATTATTGTACATTAATTATAAAAAGGAACTTAAACTTTTTTAAAAGAAATTTTATTGTGATTTTCCACAGCTGTGAACAAGTTTACTACCCCTATTATATTCCCTTAGCCCCTCTTCCTGCTACTAATTTTTCAAACAGCATTTAGTGGGTTCCACTTCACACACACACACACACACACACACACACACACACACACACACACACACACACTACACACACACACTTTGATCCTATTTACCATCTAGTGTCCTCTCCTTTCTCTCATCAACTCACACTGATTCTCCCCAGCTTATCTCCCTTTGCTCTCATGTCACATCATCATTATTATCATTCATAATTATTTTAGTCATTTACTTTGAATGAGTGAAAACATGAGATATTTGGTTTTTAAAGCTTGGCTGGGAATGTGGCATAGTGGAATGTCGGGAGCCAAAACTTGAGTCTCTCAACATAATAGGCTTGACTATCGCACTGGAACATCTTGAGGCTGAGTTTACAGAATCCTACACTCATCCTGCCCTAAGTAAACATCCTGCAACTGCTAAAGACCACCCTTTCCCCGTCCTAAGCAAACATCCTGCAGCTGCTACGGCCAATGAAAAAGCTTCCTTAACAGCCAATGAAAAAGCTTCCTTATTCCAAGCATATAAATACCCCTGTGTAAAAAATAAAAATTTGCAGCTTGATCAGAATCCCTGTCTTGCTGTCATTCTTTGTGTCTCTTGTCCCTTCATTCCTTCTAGCTTAAGTTCACTGCCCTCGTTGAAGTCCTGCGGGTCGGGACAGTGGAAGAGTGCTTGCCTAGCATGCTTGAAGCTCTGGATTCGATTCCTCAGTACCATATAAACAGAAAAAGCTGGAGGTGGCATTGTGGCTCAAGTGGTAGAGTGTTACTTGAGCAAAAGAAGCTCAGGAGCCAAGCGCTCATGGCTCATGCTTGTAATCCTAGCTACTCAGGAGGCTGAGATCTGAGGATCACAGTTCAAAGCCAGCCTGGACAGGAAAGACCATGAGACCCTTATCTCCAATAAACCACTAGATATTATCATCTCTTAAAACAATAAAATAATTAAAGGTACAAACACAAAGCTTTCTTTCTTTGCCTTTCAAATTTATGTCTATTATCTACATGGAATTGACATTTTTGTGTAATGTAGAAAGTCCAATTTTATTTTTAGTTTTTGTGCCTGGTCCTAGGGTTTGAATTCATGGCCTGGGCACTGTCCCTGAGCTGCTTTTTGCTCAAGGCTAACACTTTACCACTTGAGCCACAGCTCTACTTCCAATGTGCTTTTTGTTTTTGCCAGTTGTGGGGCCTGAACTCTGGGCCAGGGCGCTGTCCCTCAGCTCTCCAGTTCAAGGCTAGCACTCTACCCATGAGCCACAGCACCATTTCTGGCTTTTATCTGCTTATGTGATGCTGAGGAATTAAACCCAGGGCCTCATGTTTGCTAGGCAAGCACTCTACCACTGAGCCACCTTTCTAGCCACCAACATTTTGTTTTGTTTTGTTTTAGTAGTTTATTGGAGATGAGTTTAATGGATTTTCATGCCTGAGCTGGCTTCAAACTACAATCCTCAGATCTTAGCCTCTTGAGTAGCTAGGATATGAGGGTTTGCCTTTCCTCTGCCAATAACATTTCAATCAGCTTCTCAAGTTTCCATCTTACATTCAAACCAATTGAAAAAATATTTTGTGCTGGTCCTGGGTCTTGAACTCAGGGCCTGGGCAAAGTCCCAGCCTTGAGCTTTTTGCTCAAGGCCAGTGCTGTACCACTTGAGCCAAACTCCATTTCCTGCTTTTTTTTTTAATGATTAATTGGAGATAAGAGTCTCATGGACTTCCCTGCCCAGGCTGGCTTTGAACTGCAGTCCTCAGATCTCAGATTCCTGAGTACCTAGGATTATAGGCATGAGCCACCAGTGCCCAGCTTCTACTGAAATTTTGTCTAAAATTGCACTGGATCTATACATTTGGAAATACTTTATGTTTTTCATAATCTTCCAATCCATGGATATGTTATAATTCTGATTTGTATGCCTTCTATAGTGTCTTTAAATGATTGATTTATATAGGCTTTGGTCTTATTTTGGTTTATTCTTAGGTATCTGATATTCATTTGAGATAATTATAAATGGCATCTTTTTAAAAATTACCTTTTGGGGCTGGGAATGAGGCTTAGTGATATTGTGCTTGCCTAGCATAAGTGAAGGCTTGGGTTCAATTCCTCAGTACTACATAAACAGAAAAAGCCAGAAGTGGCACTGTGGCTCAAGTGGCTGAGTACTAGCCTTGAAGCTCAGGGACAGTGCCCAGGCCCTGAGTTCAAGCCCCAGGAGCAGCATATAGAAATAATACAATTTTTTTCAATACTGATGTTTGAACCTAGTACTGCACACTTATAGATAAGTACTCTACCACTTGATCCACTTTAATTATGCCTAAGCAGGTCTGAACTGCTGTCTTCTTATTTGTACTTCCCTGTGGGGTTGTGATAATAGAAGCAAACCAACATAGCCATCTATTGCTTAATATGGTCTCTGGAAGTTTTTTGTTGTCTTTTTTCGTTTTGGCCCTGACTAGCCTCCAGTAGTCCTTCATCATCCTTCATCATCTCTTCTCTCAAGTAACCAGAATTAGAGGTTTGAGACACCACTGCTGGCAAATGTTGATTTTTTTTTAGGTTATTTACTTATTTAGATTTTTGATGCTGGGGAATACAGTCCAAGACCATATACATGGTAGGCAATATAGCTATACCACTGAGCTACATACCAAGCTCCTGAATTCTCTTAAAAAATTAATTTAGCTGGGCACTGGTGGCTCATATCTATAATCCCAGCTACTCAGGAGGCTGGGGGCTGAAAATCATGGTGTGAAGTCAGAATGGGCAAGAAAGACTGTGAGACTCTTATCTCCACTAACCACCCCAAAGCTGGAGATGGAGCTGTGGCTCAATTGGTAGAGCTCTACATTTTTTTTTTTTGGGGGGTCCGGTCATGGGGCCTGAACTCTGGGCCTGGGCGCTGTCCCTCAGCTCTTCAGCTCAAGGCTAGAGCTCCACCACTTGAGCCACAGCGCCACTTCCGGCTTTTTTCTGCACTTCCGGCTTTTTTTCTGCTTATGTGGTGCTGTGGAATCGAATCCAGGGCCTCATGCATGCAAGGCAAGCGCTCTACCACTGAGCTACCTTCCCAGCCCAGCTGTTTTTTTTTTTTTTTTTTTTTTTAACACGGTTGGTGCTCTTGAGTCACACCTCTACTTCCAGTTTTCTGCGAGTTAGTTGTGAATAGGTAAGAGTTTCTTGCATTTGTCTGCATGGGTTTAGTCCTTTCATTTTCCTTACTCTACTGGCTGAGGACCTTCCGTGGAAGTAAGGGGCACCCTTTCACCTTGACTGGAGAGTCCACAGCAGCGGGAGGGGCGGTTGTCTGGTGGAGCAGGACGTCGACTCCCTCCTTTCGGCACCTGCCACGAGTTGGGGCCACCTGCCAGCTCCTCTAAGCAAGCGATTTCCAGCTGTCCCAAGTTCCGCAGCGGGACCCCGTGAACCAGGAAGAGTCGGAACTACATCTCCCACCATGCCGCGCGCCGGTGCTCCGGGGTAGGGGCGGGGCTGGCGGGAGGCGGAGCGGAAGCGGAGTGTGAGGGACAGCTGAGTAAAATCTCCACACGCCGAGGTCCGCCTTGTCGTGGCTCCCCATCCCCGGCCTTTCTCCACCGCGACCTGGAGGCGAAGCTGACTCCCGCTAAGCGGTTTTGGCTGCACGCTGCGGATCGAGCCTTCAGGCAAGGTGACGGTGAGGGGAGCGAGGCCACCGGCCGGGGCGCCTCCCCTGCTCGCCCGGCCCGGCCGCCCTCGATCCCGCCCCCCACCCCGCGCCCCCCGGGCCGCCCGCCGGGGACGCGCCCGCCGCGCCGGGCAGACCCTTTGTGCCTGCCTTGGGGCCGCGACCCGACCCCGTGCGGAGGGCCAGCCGCGGCCAGCCGGCGGGCCTGGGCGGGGCGCGAGCGCGGCCGGGGCTCGGGTGGGCTCGGTCCCGAGCTGCGCGGCCGTGGGCAGCCCCGCGGCCACCGCGCTCACTTGGTTTTCTATTCTTGACAGCTCAGTTCTGTGCCACTTTGGGGGAAGGAGAAAGTCAGATGACCCTTTCAGTTCCCTCCGCGAAACTCGTGTCCTGGGTGACCGGTGAGGGTGAACTTCACTGCGGTGTGTGTCGGCGGCCGTGGCTCCGACCCCCGGGGTTCCATTCCGAGTGCCTCGCTGCCTGCCTCAGTGAGCTGGCTTAGTCTCCGGCTCGCTGCCCGCGTTGTCACCGCCAGCCGCTAGCGATGTCACGTACCTTGAAGTTGTTAGACTTGCAAACAATATACCTATTACCCCATTAATTCTCCAGTTGATGGAAAGATCCTTTGCACACGGTACCGAAGTGGCCTTTGGACTTCGTTTTAGGCTTTCTCTTGCTTTCTCATCGGTCGTATCTTTAATATCTGTATCTTGTTCACCTTCTACCTAAGCAAGGAATTCCTTTTAAAATAGGCCGTCTTCTTAATTTCCGCCGTTTAAGATGGCTGAGAATGTTCTAAGGAAATTGATGACTCTGCTTTTCTGGGGATCAGCCCTGGAGATACAGTGCAAAGACTAATCCCGCTACCTACCTTCCCTCCCTCCCCCCCCCCCCCAGCTGCGTCCTGCGGGGATCCTTAGAGGAAGCCTAGTGTCCTGTCAGTAAGCATCGATGTGCTCTGCAGTTTCTAATCTTTTCTCTATGCTCACTTTTTTTTTTCTGTCTCCGCTTTCTCACTGGTTCATAATTTTTAACACCTTTGAGAATTATGTTTCCAAATTGTACTTTTTGTGTAAAGATAGGATGTGTGAACACATGCAATAAATTTAGTTTCATTAAAGTTTCAGTTGTTCTTTTGCTGTTTTCTCTTCACTTTTATTAAAGTTGGTGATGGGGTTAGTTTTATGGAATTCTTTGTAGTCTTTCATTGAATTTTTTCACTTAAAATGTCTGCTGTGTACTATTTTGAGTTCAGATACTCTTGTGCAATATGTGAAATCCACATGTCCTGAGTAAGTGCTTACTAAAAAAAAAATCTATTGTAGGGAGAAAGCATCTATGGGCTTGAGTTGTCTGTGTAATGCCTTTAGTGACAGGTGACTTTTATTTTTGAAAATTTCATTGTAAAGGTGATGGACAGAAGGGTTACGTAAGCCAGGCAATGAATACATTTTGTTTTGAAGATTGTCACCCCCTACCTCATTCTCTCCCAGTTTTTCCTCTCCTTTTCCCCCCACCAAGTTGTATAGTTAATTTCCAACATAGTGTCCAGTGAGTATCACTGCTGAATTGGTTCACCCTTCATCCCACCTTTTCTGTGCTTACCCTTCCCTCCCCACATCAGATAAATTTATATACAAGGTAAACGGTACAGAAATCAAAAAGTGACAAGGGATTAAACCAAAGAAAAAAGGAAAGGAAAAAACCCCCCACAAACAGTACCAAAAAACCCCTCCTTCCATTTCTTGGAGCTCATTTTGATAAGTGTCATTTTATGTGGTCCTATGTGAATGTTTAGAGTGCTGTTTAATTAGTCAAGTCCAAGTATAATTATTTGTCTTTTACTAGACAGATGACCTTTTTTTTTTTTTTTGTAGTCCTGGGACTTGAATTCTAGGCCTAGACACTGTCCCTGAGCTGCTTTTGCTCAAGGCTCATACTCTACCACTTGAGCCACAGCACCACTTCAGGCTTTTTCTGTGCAGGTGGTACTGAGGAATTGAACCCAGGGCTTCACTCTACAAGTAAGCCACATTCCCAGCCCTAGACAGATGATTTTTTTTTTTCTTTTTGGTCATGAGGCTTGAACTCTGGACCTGAGCGCTGCCTCTCAGCTCTTCAGCTCAAGGCGAGTGCTCTACCATTTGAGCTACAACACCACTTCCGGTTTTCTGGTGGTTTATTGGAGATAAGAGTTTCACTGACTTTTCTTGCATGGGCTGGCTTTGAACCGTGATCCTCAGATCTCAGCCTCCTGAATAGCTAGGATTACAGGCATGAGCCACTGGTGCCTGGCTTTTTAAAGATATAAAGAAAAAGAGAAATTTGATGAGAACCAGGAGAATAAATAAGTGAAAAATTAATTCAAACTTTGGAAGGAGGCATACACCAGGAACATTCTGATTCACTTTAAAATGTGTGGCAACAGTACTCATTTTGAGGAAAAGGTGTCTAGGTTAGTGTTATTTAGTAAAGTATAGGACAGAGTAGTGACTGGAAAAAGGTGTTGATTCTTGTCTGGCTCTGTCAGAATCTGTGTAACATTAAGTTAAGTTGAGGCTCTCCCTTTGCTTGTCTTTAAAATAGTGAATTGGTCTGATTCCAAAGACAGCTCAGACCTTCAGTGCTAAGGGGTTGTAAAGGTTCTTTTTAATGTGGAAGAAAAGAAGAGGAAAGCCCTTTACCTAGTTTATTTCTGTCAAAGGGCTTTTTTCCTACTCTAGCTAGTTTCTCAGTCTATCCCTAAGGAAAGGGATATACATGAAAGCAAAGCTGCCAGAAATCAGAATCTTAGCAGCTAGTTCATACTTCTGTCTGAGGAATTGCATGTGTTCTCTCTATTCTCCAGATCTTGTCTTTCTATCCTAGCACCTGTACGTATTGCTTCTGCTTCTTTGTAACTTTGATTTGTCAGTCCCTGACCTATCTTCATTTTTTTTTTTTTGTAAATTCTTCAGATTTGCTCAGTGGAGCTTCTTTTGTTTGGTCCTTGCAGTAGGGGAAATGGGAGAGGTGGAAATGAGGCTGTGACGTGTCAAACTCTCACTGAAGCCTAATAACGCATTTTAGATAACACATTTTAGATTGAGTAGTTTTCCTATTGCTGAAACAGTGTTTATGTTTATCCCTATCTTTGCTGTTTTTTTTTTGTTGTTGTTGGTCTTGGGCCTGAACTCTGGGCCTGGGCGCTGTCCCTTAGCTCTTCAGCTCAAGGCTAGCGCTCTACCACTTGAGCCACAGCACCACTTCCTGCTTTTTCTGCTTATATGGTGCTGAGGAATAGAATCCAGGGCTTCATGCATGCAAGGCAAGCACTCTGCCACTGAGCCACCTTCCCAACCTCCCCCCCCCCCCCCCCCCGTTTTCTTTTTTAAATTCTGTTTTTGTAATTTTCAGTGCTGCTATCTTCTACCTCTGCTAAATATGCTATCTAACAAAGATCTGATATCTTGAGACTCATTTCTATTAGCAGGAATTCTTGACTAGCTTTTCTCAAAAGAGAACATTCTCTTTTTAATCTTTATTTGTATTTCTTGCTGTTGAAGACTGAACACTGTGCCTGTAACCACAGGGCCCAAGGCAGTGCATCTTAAAATCTTAGACCTAATAGCTGTGTGGATGGTTGTGTTTGGGTTAAACCTTTTCCCCAGATATTAGCCTCAGGCAATATTGTGTAGAGAAAGTATTTTAGGAATGGACCTTTTCCCCTGAAAATACATTCCAGGGTTAAGTATGAGTCTTTTTAAAAGAGAAAGTCTTCAGCTTTGAGCACTGGTGAATATACAATTTTTCTTGTATTAAACATATGCCTCTGAATTTCTTTGGAGACTCAGCATGATTCTCATAACACCTTTGCCTGAGTGTGAGTTGCTCTGCTTGTTAGCTGGCTGTGATTATTACTTTTATTATTTTTTATTTCTTAGCTAGTCATGGGACTTGAACTCAGGGTTTGGGCACTGTCCCTGAGCTTCTTTTGCTCAAGGCTAGGACTCTTATCACTTGAGAGCCAAAGTGCCACTTCAGGCTTTTTTTGTTGTTGTTTATGTTGTACCAAGGAATGGAACCCAGGGCTTCATGCATGCTAGGCAAGCACTCTGTCACTAAGCCACATTCCCAGCCCTGTTACTAGTTTTAGCTGTAGGTCACAACGGCCCAAAGGGAAGAGCACAGAATAAATGCGAAAAATGGGATTTGAACAAGAAATTTTAAGGTAGAATTAGCCTTTAGTTGATTTTTAAAAATCTTGCTATTATGTGTTTACATAAAAGTACAGGGGAGTACTTCATTACATTGTGAAATGCATTGTTTAAACAACTTTTTAGCGTGGTCCTGGTGGCTCATGCCTGTAATCCTAGCTACTCAGGAGGCTGAGATCTGAGGATTGAAGTTCAAAGCCAGCCTGGGCAGAAATATCCCTGTGAGATTCTTTTTTTAAAAAATTTTTATTTTATTGTAAAGATGCTGTACAGATGGGTTACAGTTATATGAGTAAGGTAATGAGTACATTTCTTGTTATAAACATTTACATGTATGCTTAATATGAATAGAACCTTTTCTTTTTTTTTTTTTGCTCGTCCTGGGGCTTGAACTCAGGCTCTGGGAATTGTCTCTGCCCATGTGGTCAAGGCTAGCACTCTACCATTTGAGCCACAGTGTCACTTTTGGCTTTTTCTGATTAGTTTATTGGAGATAAGAGCCTGTGGGACTTTTATCTCCAATAAACCACCAGAAAACCAGAAGTACCCTGTGGCTTAAGTGGTAGAGCACTCACCTTGAGCTGAATTGCTCAGGGACAGTGCCCAGGCCCAGAGTTCAACCCGCATGACCTACAAAAATAAATAAATAAATAAATACATAAAAATAAACTTTTAAATTGCAAATCATGGTAAGACATCTTTTTATGTCAAAACTTTGTAGATGTATGACTATGTAGTTATGTATATCTGTGTTTGAAGCAATAAGTAAACTTAGAAAAATGTTGTGGAACAAAATCTGTAGTATGTACA